AAATATCATATAGGAAGTGCCGGAGTTAGCCTTTGGAACGATTTTGCTGGACGTAATAATTACGGTTATTAAAACTTTAATTTAGTTTAAGTGTATTAATCAATTTCTTTTTCTTTCTACAGTACTGTGTCTAATTTCCTCATTAATATTTGATATTCCACTTGGCTTTCCAATCAAACATGGCCAGACCCACCTTTTTTTTTTTTTTTATACCCAGATATCCCAACTTAGCCAGACTAAATCCTGGACCTCTAGCCACCGGCCCCTCAGCAACTCGAGGAGGTAAACCGCAGGTTATGCCCTTATTGGCTCACAGGTTTCTGCACCGCTTATACTTCTGACACCAAGAGAGCTCTCCTCACTGCCTTCCAGTCATTGTCTTGCTTTCGAGAAAATCCCCCTTCCAATAGATAGCACTGGATTCTTACTACTATTGGAAGGGTGAGAAATATGTTGATAGATAGGTGAGATTGAGAAATCTTTTAAAATTCGACGAGTAAGTAGTAATTCAGTTAAAGTTTAAATGAACATTCATTGATTTTATCCTACGTTCTATTGACAACTTTAATTTTTCAAGAGAACGTGATTTAGATGGTTCATTGATCTAGCATCCTTCTGGTAAGAGCCTCAAGAGCTCACGTTGAACATTATGGATCATTCTAGTCTTTCCTAGAAGTATTTAGCAATGAATAGCAAAGAAAACTTAGCTTTGTTTGAAAACTTGGAATCAAGTGTTAAAGAACATTGAAGCAATATCTAAGGTTGATTCAAATTTGGGATGTGTTCGTGAGCAAGATGAAATGTCAAAATGCAATACGAACACCTTTAAACTACATTTGGTAAGGTGCATTGACAATATCAAAAAAGTATTAAAAAAATAAAAATCTTATATAGACCGTGTCTGATGCACATTATTGACTGGAGAATGCATTTTAAATAGTGATTTGATGGAAAATATGTTGTTAAAAAAAAAGAAAAATTTTGAATTTGCGTGTAATATTATTTTATTGAAGAATATATGGTTGAAAATGAGTTTTGAAAAAATGAATTTTTCTAAGAATGTGGATCAAATAAGGTGATATTATACTGTCAAGACTTCATGTCAAACATTCTTTTAAGCTAGTGAGCAAGTTTCATGATGAACTTAGTTTTAGTTTTCTTGAATTCTACAATAACTATTGAAAGATGATTTGTTTGTTATCGGTAGCTAACAGAGGCTTAATATTTTAGATTTATTTATGTAGATATAAGAATTGTATAGCTCGTCAATTAGCAAGAAGCACCAGTGGTCTAGTGGTAGAATAGTACCCTGCCACGGTACAGACCCGGGTTCGATTCCCGGCTGGTGCACTTTGCAATGATGATAATTGCGCCCAGTGCGATGGTGGGTCCGTCGCTTTGTCTGATCCTTCGGATGAACAAGTGGCGCTTCTGAGCATCTTCCTTTTTTCTTTTTAATTTTTTTTTGTGTTTTTATAGTTAAACGGGCACAAACGGGAACGTGTAATTGGATTTTCTGTTTTTAGTTTTTTATCCTTAGTTTTTGCGTGCACGTGTAATACGGTAGTAACTAGTAAGTAATTCGAAGCAAGGGAAGAATTAAAAAAAAAAGAGGTGAAATTCAAACAAACTGAACTTAATTGTGCATAAAAATAAGTCAAAGTTACTTTTAAGTTATTTATTTGTTATTATTTTTAGAGTTACTCTTTTCTAAATAACTAGTCAGACGCACGTGCAATGCACGTGCTACCGGCGTAGTTGGCTACATAATAGGAAAAGTTTAATGAAACAAATATCAATGAAGCACTGAAAGACAGATTTTATCATCCATGTACAAGTGAAATAGCCATGTTTTTCAAACCTTATTTTTTTCATCAAAAGGGATCATGTTTATGATGCGTGCAAACAGAGAAAACCATGGACTACTTTCAGAAGATATTGCTTCATGAAATCAAGTTCGTGACATATGACA